CCTCAGGGTGCCGTTGGCCAGACAGTGCCGGCTGGCGACCCCAAGGGGGAGGGCCTTCTCTGTGGGAGCTCCCACCCTCTGGAATGAGCTGCCCCCAGAGATCAGGGTGATCCCTGATCTCCCTTCCTTCCGCCGCGCCCTCAAGACATGGCTATTCCAACAAGCGGGACTGGCCTAGGGCAATTTTTAGAGGGGTTTTAATCATATCTTAATTAGACAACATTTAAATATTTCTTTTTAACTAATTTTAATTTTGTAATTGTTATTGGTGTATTTTTAACTGATTGTCAGCCGCCCTGAGTCCGCAAGGAGAAGGGCGGGATATAAATTCAATAAATAAATAAATAAATAAATAAATAATCAGTGGGCCAAGTATGAGTCATCAGGGAGAGGCTGGTGATGGATCTTGTGATGGGGAGATTACATCAAGTCAGGGTCACTGGAACTGCTGGGGGAGGGAAAGGGGGCTTCTGTGGGTTGGTTGAAGGTTGGTACTCTCTCCAATTGGATGTACGATTAATTCGGATTCTGAGGACTTTGTAGGCTGGTTCTAGGTCAATGTGTCTCTTGATGGAATTGATTGTGGAGTGCAAGGCTTCGATGAAGTCACGAGTGTGGCGGGTGGTAGCATGACCAATGATTTCTTTATTATGATCCAACTGAAAATGGGATAAACATGAAGGAGAAAAGACGTTTTCTTATTCGTGTGAAAGGCCATTGGTGACTTTCCAATGATCTTCAATGGGCAGTAGTTACAAAAATGCACTATTCGTGTTTGGTTTCTATTAGTAAACTCATCTCTCTGGGGCTTTCAGTTGTGAAAGTCAGACTAAAAAAAAACACCATTGCTCATTCAGTATATATAATTAGGAAATGAATATATTTCAACAACTAAACCTAACAGTTAAACAGATTCTCACCCAAATATATCTATATATGGAACATTCGGCCATTGATCCTCTTGAAGCTTTTTCCATATTTCACAGATTTATAGGAATTCTACACCGTGTGGGTCTTTTTATGGGAGTTAAGACAACGATTTGTAATAAAACCTTTTCCACGCACCATACATTTATATGGTTTCTCCCCTGTGTGGATCCTTTTATGGATGTTAAGATAACTCTTCGTAGAAAAACTTTTCCCACATTCTATGCATTTATAAGGCTTCTCCCCCGTGTGAATCTTTTTATGGGAGGTAAGGTTATTAGAGACAGAAAAGCATTTTTCACACTCCATGCATTTATATGGCTTCTCCCCAGTATGAATCCTTTTATGGATGTTAAGATTACCGTTTCTAATAAAGCCTTACCACACTCCATGCATCCCCTGTATGTATCCTATTATGGTAAATAAGTTAACAGTCCTTAACAAAGCTCTTTCCACACTCCATGCATTTATATGGCTTTTCCCCTGTGTGAATCCTTTTATGGAAAATAAGGTCACTGTTCTTAGGAAAGCTCTTTCCACACTCCATGCATTTATAGGGCTTCTCTCCTGTGTGGATCCTTTTATGTAAATTAAGATGTGTTCTCTGAATAAAAGTCTTTTCACACTCCATGCATTTATAAGGCCTTTCCCCTGTGTGGATCATTTTATGGAAATTAAGTTTTCTCTGTTCACTGAAGGTCTTTCCACACTCCATACATTCATGCCGCTTCTCTTCTCTGTGGATCTTCTTATGACTTGTAAGTTGACAGTCTGTAGTAAAGTTCTTTCCATGGTCCTTGCATTCATACATCTTCCGCTTGTGGATCCTTTTATGGGAAGTAAGACTGCTACTCTGAGTAAAGATCTGCCACCTCCCTGCTCACCTCTTGGACGGGCCAGACCAGGAAGACAGCCTCCCTGCATCCCTGGGGCAAAGGACCCCCGTCCACCCAGAGGAGCATTGGCCTGGCCGTCCCCGCACACTTCCTGCCACCACCCAGCACGGCTGACCCAGGATTGCAGGGACTGGACTAGCATGGGAAGGCACCCACACCCTCTTGCCTGAACTCTCTTACTGGTAGTTGGTCCACCCGCACGCTCTGAGGTAGGCCCAATCGCCACCGCATTTCAAAGTTCTGCGTCTCCACCCCATGCATAGGCCATGCCCTGCTTTTTCTACTGAACATCAACCTGCCCATGCATGCTCATCACCTGCTGTATATAAGACATCCTCCAAAAATGACCTAATGGGTCTTTTGATCCCCCCCCCAAAAAAGTTAAAACCCAGTCTTATTTGTGGGGGAAACACGGTATCTATTTCCATCTCAATCTTCTCTCTCCATGTTTACATATGAAAACCCTTTTTGCTCTACTGTAGATATTTCAAGGGGTCCCAAATTTTTAAAAGGCAACTTGACTATTTATTTTCTTGAAGGTTTCACTTTTTCTCCAAGCAATATCTTCATTTCTAAAGATGCTTCTTCACAACAGAAGATACTTCTTGGATGAGAAGTGAAACGTCTTCAAGAAAATACAGAAGTCCAGTTGTCTTTTGAAAAAGTACCTTTGGAACATCCATGACCTGGATGTCTGAGAATCTCCATAGGCATTTGTTAAGGGGCTTTCTTCTCTCCTCCAAATGCTTAATCCTCTAATACTGGAGCTGCTTTGGGGAATTCTGCACCCTGGACAGCTGCATGAAGCGCCCTTCCATGGATTTTCAGACAGGGAGTCTCATTCTTTTCTTGCAGTTATTTCGGTTCTGTCTCTTAGCAATTATTGGATCCCCATACACAGCATTTTTCCACTGTTGCCAGCTTTCCCCTTCTATACGACAAACTCTCAGTGAAGAAGAGGCTGCTCCTGTTGTATCTAAATTTTCATTTACATTAAATGAAGACTTTTTCTTAGCCCTCATCTCACCATAGAAAAGTAAAATATTGTCCTAATGCTTGGAAAGTCTTTTGCACATGAATTTCAGGGGCTTCTCGTCATTCTGGCTGTATATTGAAAGCAATCTCCAATGTCCAAAGCCCTTCCCCTGGGTAGATCAGTCCAACCCAATCCTGGTCCGATGTTTTAGCAACTCGATGTATAAATTCCTTTCCCAGGGCTGGTGTCCTTGAGGGCAGGCAGATGGCTGAGTTTGGTACCTTTAATTCCTGTTAATGTCCATACTCCCCAAATTCTCACACCATTCTTTAATACCTCCAGCACTCTTCCTCTACCAAATGAACCCTTCCCCCTAGTTATGGCAGTTGTCCTGTTCCTAGTTATGGCAATTGCTAGTGAGCTTTCTACGGTAGGAATCTGACATCTTTCGTGATTTATGCCTTTCCCATAGTATGTCTGGAATGACATTTTGCTAAGCCCTATGCTTGCTCTCAAAGATTAAAGTTTTATATAAGTTTCATTGGGGATTTGGGCTTTCTTTATTATGATCCAATTGGAAATGGGATAAACATAAAGAAAAAAAATGTTCTCTTATTGACGTGAAATGGCATCAGTGGCCTTCAAATAACAGTAACTACCAAAATCCACTGTTCGTAATTAAAACAGTAAATTCATCACTCTGAGGTTTCCAATTGTGAAGGTCAGAGTCAAAAAAACACTTTTCTAATTCAATAGATGTAATTAGGAAATGCATATATTTCAACAACTAAACCTAACAGTTAAACAGATTATCGCCCAAAAGTATCTGTATATGGAACATTCGGCCACTGGTCCTCTTGAAGATGTTTCCACATTTTAGAGATTTATACAGCTTCTAACTGAGTGGGTCCTTTTATGGGAGTTAAGATAATTATTCGTAATAAAACCTTTTCCACACACCATACATTTATACGGCTTCTCCCCTGTGTGGATCCTTTTATGGGTGTTAAGATAATTCTTCGTAGAAAAACTCTTTCCACATTCAATGCATTTATAAGGCTTCTCCCCTGTGTGAGTCTTTTTATGGCAGGTAAGGTTACTAGACACAGAAAAGCATTTTCCACATTCCATGCATTTATATGGCTTCTCCCCGGTATGCATTCTACTATGGTAAATAAGTTGGCAGTTCTTAATAAAGCTCTTTCCACACTGCATGCATTTATATGGCTTCTCCCCAGTGTGGATTCTTTTATGGTATTCAACAGAAGTGTTCATCATAAAACCTTTTCCACACACCATACATTTATAAGGTTTCTCCCCTTTATGGGTCCTTTTATGGATGTTAAGATAACTATTCGTAGAAAAACTCTTTCCACATTCCATGCATTTATAATGTTTCTGCCCTTTATGTATACGGTAATGCAAAGTAAGAGAGTTACTATAAGTGAAGCTCTTTCCGCACTCCATGCATTTATAGGGCTTCTCCCCTGTGTGGGTCCTTTTATGGACGTTAAGAATACTGTTTCTAGAAAAACTCTTTCCACATTCCATGCATTTATAAGGCTTCTCCCCTGTGTGTGTTTTTTTGTGGAAGTTAAGATAACTATTTGTAATAAAAGCCTTACCACACTCCATGCATTTATATGGCTTCTCCCCTGTATGTGTTCTACTATGGTAAATAAGTCGAGAGTTCTTAACAAAGCTCTTTCCACATTCCAGGCATGTATATGGCTTTTCCCCTGCGTGGATCCTTTTATGGAAAATAAGGTCAGTGCTCTTAGGGAAGCTCTTTCCACACTCTAGGCATTTATAGGGCTTCTCCCCTGTGTGGATCCTTTTGTGGCAAACAAGACTGTTCCTATGAGTAAAGCTCTTTCCACACTCCATACATTTATATGGCTTTTCACCTGTATGGATCCGATAATGCAAAGTAAGAGAAGTACTACAGGTGAAGCTCTTTCCACACTCCATGCATTTATAGGGCTTCTCTCCTGTGTGGATCCTTTCATGGGAAGTAAGATTGCTGCTCTGAGTAAAGCTCTTTCCACACACGATGCATTTATAGGGCTTCTTTCCTGTGTGGGTCCTTGTATGTGAACTAAGATGAGTCGTATGAATAAAGGTCTTTCCACACACCATGCATTTATAAGGCCTTTCCCCTGTGTGGATCGTTTCATGTACAGAAAGATTTTTGAGTGAGCTCAAGCACTTTCCACACTCTGTGCATTTGTAGGACTTCTCTCTTGTGTGGATCCTTTTATGTGAAGTAAGTTCTCTACTGTTCGTAAAGCTGTTTCCACACTCCTTGCATTTATATGTTTTCTCTGCTTTGTGGATCCTTTTATGATAGATAAATTGATGGTTCTTAATAAAGCTCTTTCCACAGTCCATGCTCTTATAGGGCTTCTCTTCTGCCTGGATCCTTTTTTGAGATGTACGGGACCTATTTTTATGAGGACAAGACAAGGTCCATTTGTAATTTTTTCCATTGTCTCTAGATATATAATCTTCTCCTTTGGTTTGGGTTTGATTGTGTTCATTTACATCAAATTTGTCTTTGAATGGTTTTATACATTTTCCAATATATTTGTTCTTTATTTTTCCTTGTTGGGCCACAGATGCTTTCATTGGTGCATGAATGGAAGATGAACTTTCCTGATTCCAATTATTTGACTCGTTTCTCTCATGGCTTTCTACTTCCATTAGAATTGTAGGGTTCTTTGTATTGTATCCACAACTGATCACTTGGAATAGTTTTCCAGAATCTTCATTTTCCTCTCCATTATTACCTTCAAAAAGAAAAGAAGATTGAAAATTTTGAAGATGAATCTAGGGTTGTATGGCAAGGGAAAAGCCGTAAATTAAATATCAAATTCTCCATGGTTCGAAGGAAAAGGGAAGATTTGGTTTGCCTGATTTCAAATTGTGTTTTGTAGTTGTCAACGCTGCTAATATTGATATTATTGCTTTGACAAAATATGCAGAAATGTCTGGTATTTTTAGAGTTAACTTAGATGATGCTGGGAGGGGAGGAGAAAGATAAGGAATACGCTGGCTACAGAACAGAAGTGAACCTTTGCCCTTCGGGCTGATTGGAAAACGTGATTTATGACTGCAAAATAGGGGAGGGGAATAGGCTGGAATGTTATGTGCAAAGAAGGGGAATTCAGATCTTGGCATCCATCCATGCCGTGCCGACACTCTGTTACACAAAATAAAGACTTTTTAGGATAAACAATGCCTGGAAGTTCTTTGAAATGTATCATTAGTCGGAACCATGACAGTAGTCTGCTGTGTGGTTTGGATAAAAAATGGGAGTTGCTCAGAAATAAGAGAATTTTAGAACTAGAAAGGCTTTATAAAGGTGTGGATGTCATGCATATTTGTGGTACGATAAATTTAGGATCAAACTAGATTTGAAAACTGTAATGTTATAAAATACCACACTGAGAACACAAAACAGATATAAACTTAGGCTGTGCCCCAAAACATCTAAATGGCTCTCAGCAAAAAAAAAAAAAAAAAAAAAAGCAGGAGGAAATGACTTGGATAACATTTCGAGAGCCATTAGCAGTTGACCTGTGGGAATACCAAATTAAGTCAAGAATGCAAAAAGGATATACAGTGCATTCATGAAGTATTCAGACTCCCTTCATTTCTGTCAAATTGTTATGCTGCACCTTGATTCTACAGTTGTTGAAAATCATTTTTTTTCTCATTAAGGTACATTCAGTACCCCATAAAGACAAAATGAAAAGAATTTTAGAAATGTCTGTAAACTTATTAAAATTAAAAAAAAGCTGAAATATCACATTTGCGTAAGTATTCAGACACTTCATTCAGCACTTTGTTGAAGCACCTTTGGCAGCATTTATAGCCTTGAGACTTTGGGGGTAATAATAATAATAATAATAATAATAATAATAATAATAATAATAATAATAATAATAATAATAATAATAAAGTTGGAAGGGACCTTGGAGGTCATCGAGTCCAACCCCCTGCTCAGGCAGGAAACCCTACACCATTTTGAACATATGGCTGTCCACTCTGGACATATGGCTGTCCAGTCTCTTCTTAAAAACTTCCAGTGTTGGAACATTCACTGCTTCTGAAGGCAGGTTGTTCCATTGGTTAATTGTTCTAACTGTCAGGAAGTTGCTTCTCTCCTTGATCAGTTTCCATCCGTTGCTTCTTGTCCTGCCTTCAGGCGCCTTGGAGAATAGCTTGACTCCCTCTTCTTTGTGGCAGCCCCTGAGATATTGGAACACTGCTATCATGTCCCCCCTCGTCCTTCTCTTCGTTAAACTAGACATACCCAATTCCAGCAACCGTTCCTTATATGTTTTAGCCTCCAGTCCCCTAATCACCTTTGTTGCTCTTCTCTGTACTCTTTTTAGAGTCTCAACATCTTTTTTACATCGTGGTGACCAAAACTGGATGCAGTATTCCAAGTGTGGCCTTACTAAGGCATTGTAAAGTGGTATTAATACTTCACGTGATCTTGATTCTATCCCTCTGTTAATGCAGCCCAGCACTGTGTTGGCTTTTTTGGCAGCTGCAGCACACTGCTGGCTCATATTTAAGTGATGTCCACTAGGACTCCAAGATCCCTCTCACAGTTACTACTATTGAGCAAGGTACCCCCTATACTATACTATATGTGACAAGCTTTGCTTGTGTGTGTGTGTGTGTGTGTGTGTGTGTGTGTGTGTGTGTGTGACATATATACTATATGTGACAAGCTTTGCACACCTGGCCCTTTGCAATAATATGTGAAATTCATGTCTCTATTTCTCTTGATCATTGCTGACATGCTTCTACACCTAGATTGGAGTCCAGCTGTGGTAAATTAAATTGACAGGACATGATTTGGAAAGGCACACAGCTGTCTACAGAAGGCCTCACTGCTGACAATGCACATTGTAGGAGAGTAAAAGCCATGAGGTCAAAGGAACTGCCTGCGGATCTCAGAGACAAGATTTTTGCAAGGCAAAGATCTGGGAAAGGCTACAATAAATTTTCTGCTGCACTGAAGGTTCCTACTATAAGTGGCCTCCATAATTCTCAAATGGAAGAGGTTTGGCATAGCCAGAACTCTTCCAAGATTTATTATTATTATTTTATTTATTAAATTTATATACTGCCCTATCTCCCTTACGGGACTCAGGGCGGTGAACAGGCGATACTAAAAACCACAATAATAAATAAATAGTTTCTGTTCTAAAATCAAATTAAATAACAGGCCTGTTCTAAAAACACCCCATACAAAACCCCCACTAAAACCTAATCAAACTACGCCAGGCCGGCCGCACGGAATAGATGGGCCTTCAGGGCTCAGCGAAAAAGGCTGGTTACCTGGTCAATCTGAGCAATTTCAGAGAGAAAGGCCTTTGTAAGACAGGTGACTTATTTATTACTTTGTCTTTTCTCTTTCTTTTCTTAATTTTATCATACTTTTTTCTTATTTATTAATCAATTATTTTCTTCATTTACACTTCAAAGTTCTTACTGTTTTTATTCTGATAAAATCCCTTTAATAAAATAATAAAAAGAGCTAATACATCTAATTACAGAACATATTCCCAAACACTCTGACTGGGGAGTAGCATATTCTTACCCAAAGAGGCCACGTTCCTATGATTTTCCAGCATGACTTCCCGATGCAGTGCTTTTTGGTCAGCATCCAGCTGAGACCACTCCTCCTCGGAGAAATACACAGCCACCTCCTTAAAGGACACAACATCCTCCTGAATGAGAAGAAAACAGAAGAAAAATCAGGACGATTTTCAAGATCTGTCCTATTACTTAAGTGATTCCAAGCAAAGATATACATTTCAGGCCGTTTAGTGAAATTAATCACACTTTTGGTCTGGGTCTGCCTGTCTGTCTCAATCCACCAGCAAGTCTTTCAGCTCTGCAGAGAATCAACTGGAATGGGCCTTGGAAACCCTACCCATCACTCACTCCAATCAACCCAATATTTGCAGGTGAAAATGCAGTTGGTGGTGGTTCTTTCTACCAATTCCGTAAAAGGCATGTGGTGTCCCCAGAACAACCAATTTTATCCATGCTCAAAACCTTCATTAAAGTTGTTTCAGAGGCACCCAAGCATTTACATGGGTATTATCAACAGACAATGACACACAAGACCTGTTTCGGCTGCTCCTCAGATTACAAGGAATCCACTGCTTGTACCCCAACCCAATGGCTGAAGAAGAGAAACCTGCCTGGGAAGAGCATTTCTCATTCTTTCTAAAGCTGGATTGTTTGGCCCCAAAATTCCAAGCAAAAATCGGAGTATTAGAAATTCCTTTAAAGGCAGAAGGGCCTTGATCTGCCCACCCTCTTTGGATTTTAACAGTCTGCTTCATCTTTTAACCTGGTGCCATTATTTTTCTTATCACTGGCTATAAACAAGGCATTTTAGAAGCTGTAAGGCGCCGATGTGATTCTTTCCGATATTACTGTGTAGCCTTGCCCAATTCCGTGCCAAAGAATTAATAGGATTACTAGTCAGAAAACGCTAACATTGAGAACATTTTATGTTTTATTATACTTCTCTTACTTGAGTTGGAGATTCAACCACTCTTTCAGCAGCACCATGGAAAGGAGTCAGATTCGTTCTATTCTTCCCTGTGAGGAAGACAGAATTTTTAAATGGATAATTAATAAAAGGGCAGGAGGCATTCTACAGAAGAGGAGAGAGAGAAGGTAAGACAGCTGGGATCTCTCTTGGGAATGGGTGGATTTTTGATTACCATCTGAGATATCCTGACTTGTGGATTCCTGATAGATCCTCCTGGAAAACAGCTCCTGAGAAAAATTTGATGGATTTCCAATTCTCATAGGATCTCTGGTCTGCAGAGGGAAAAACTTGAATAAGACATCACACAACATAAAGTGGATTCTTGTTCTCTAAAAACAACTTCAATCCCACAATATCAATCAATAAGCCTAGAATGTAAGAAAGAAACAGCTGTCTCCAGTTTGTCTTCTAGAATGGATAATGGAACAATGTTCTGCAAGAACTAGTGAAGCATCTCCACATATTATGAAGCGCAGAGAAGTATGGAAGGGAGGGGTGAAAAATTCAAACACATTTTTTATTCCCTTCTGGACTTCCAAGATGAAGGTCTCTCACCTGAAATTCGACTTGCTCCTTCTGCTCCTCTGCCTGACTCATGAGGAAGCCTTCCGCCAGGGCCACCGCTTGGGAGCTGGTCTCTGCTCCACACTCCCGCAACCAGTTTGCCATCAGAGGGGGCAGAAGGGCCAGCAGCTGCTCCAGAATTACTAGGTCCAACATCTGTGCTTTGGTGTGCTTTTCTGGTCTCAGCCATTGACTATAAAAGTTGTGAAGTCGGCTGCAAAGTCCTCGGGGACCGTCAATCTCCTCATATTGGATGTTTCTGAAGTTGCAGGGCTGAATCTCTGAACGGATGATGGTTTTCTCCTCCAGGAACCTCTGCTCAGTTTTGGTCCAGATCTTCCCACAGCTGCCAGGCTCAACAGCAGAGGGGCCTTTTCCAGTTCCCTCACTTGCTAACGTTGGTTTCTGCATCCTTTGTCTGTCCTGTAAGGAAATTCCAGATAGGTCGGAGGAATCTTGTGGATCTCCAAACACCTTTCAATTCATAGGACTATTCCGGTAGCTGCAGGACTGACCAAAAAGGCTATCCAAGCTCTTCGCCCAAGAGTTAACTTTTTGTTATTAGGAACGTGGTTGACATGACTCTAGTTTCTGCATATGAAATGGAAAAGAAAATAAATTCAAAAAATGAGAAGGTGGTGGACAACATTCCTCCTCATGAAAGTGAAGCTGGTAAAGGATTGCATAGGTATTCAGCAGATGGATCCTCTGGGTATTTCTCTTTTTGTCTGTCCATCAAGTGTGGTGTAAAATATGGTCCTAGATTACATCAAGACATGGAATATTTTATATTGGATTATAAAAGAAATGTATTATATTTGGTGGATTTTCAATATTTTTTCCCTGAAGGGCAAGTTAGTTCCCTTTCACATTTAAGATCATATATACGTACCCTACAATTAGGGATCATACAAGATGCTAGAACTCAAAGTGCTTAAGAAACTGCAATGAAATACAGAATTTTGACACGTTTCTTGTCCTTCATGTTGAGACATTTAGGCATTAGACATTTACCCGTATTAAGGATGTTACTCCCTCTTGTTTTTAAGTTTGTATGTGTGTAAGTAACTGGAGCCATAGAGAAGAGAAAAGGAGGAAGTTCCAAAAATGGCTCATCCCAAGTTTACCTTTTGTCAGTGAGGAAAAGGAAGAAAACCCTTAATATGGATAATGCTGAATGAAATGATGCTGGGAAGGAACAAAATTCTAACGATGCCATGAAGGTTGAGTTCACATCAAATGAAATGCCAAGGAAATGACCCTGGCTTAGGATGCTCACTTCCTCTTTTTCAGTGTTGGCTTTTGGGGAATAAAGTCAAACTATAACATGAAGGCTGCTTCACACAATTTCCGTGACCCCAAACTAGTTAACCAACCATAAGAGCAAAGTTCGCATGAAACACAGGGCTTGAAAGAACACACCTTAATGTGATGTTCACCCACCCTCTTAACTGTAATAATAATAACAACAACACAACAACAATAATAACAATAGAGTTGGAAGAGACGTTGGAGGTCTTCTAGTCCAACCTCCTGCTCAGGCAGGAAACCTATACTATTTCAGACAAATGGTTGTCCAGTCTCTTGTTTAAACCTTGCAGCGTTGAAGCATTCACAAGTTCTGGAGGCAAGCTGTTCCACTGATTAATTGTTCTGTCAGAAAATTTCTCTTTAGTTCTAGGTTGCTTCTCTTTTTGATTAGTTTCCATCCATTACTTTTTCGGCTGACTCAGGTGCTTTGGAGAATAGCTTGACTCCCTTTTCTTTGTGGCAGCCCCTGAAATATTGGAACACTGCTATCATGTCACCCCTAGTCTTTAAACTAAACATACCCAATTCAAGCAACAGTTCTTTATATGTTTTAACCTCCATTCCCCTAATCATCTTTGTTGTGCTTTTCTGTACTCTTTCTAGAGTCTCAACATCTTTTTTACATTGTGGTGACCAAAACTGGATGCAGTATTCCAAGTGTGGCCTTACGAAGGCCTTGTAAAGTGGTATTAACACTTCAAGTGATTTTGATTCTATCCCTCTGTTAATACAGCCTAGCACTGTGTTGCCTGTTTTGGCAGCTGCAGTACACTGCTGTCTCATATTTAAGTGATTGTCCACTAGGATTCCCTCTCAGTTACTACTATTGAGGAAGGTACCACCTATACTGTACCTATACTGCACTAAAGATTTGCAGCTTCTATTTCCAAAATGGAAAACCAAAGTAAGTACCAGGAAATCCCCACCCCCACCCCAAAAATAAATATAACAAGAAGAATATCTTAGAAAACCACTAAAATCAGGGAAGAAAGTGAGGAATACTATTAGATATTTGAACTTTAACAGCTGGGACATATTCTGAAAACTCCCTCTTGATCGAAGACTCAAACTATTGGACAAATTCATTTAAATTATGGTTTGAATTTCTAATTCCTGGTTATTTTTTCTAACGATTTCAAACTTAAGAACAATCCTACAAACAATAAATGTCTCAGGTCAGAAAACAGCAGCAATTGAGATGAGAGCTATTTCAATCGATTTCATAAGACAATAAATCAACATTAGAACTTTTAGTAAAACTTTAGGCAGCACAACCCCGTTAATCATTCTGGCCCAAACCCCTTTGGGAACTTCAGAAGCCTGAGTTAACAAGCCAGCATCCGATATACAGAGGACGAACAGCCGAATGAATGAACCATTGAGAGCCTAAGATGAGCTTCTGATTCATGCAACTCCGACAAACACGTCCCCCACTTCTTAGCCTCATCCACGCTTTTCCAAAGACGGACAAATGAAGATAAATATGGACTTCAACTCCCAGGCTTGAAAGAGGTTTGGGAAAAACCGGTCCATTCGGGCACCGGATGCGAATGCTGCGTCTCAGCCCCACTTACGTTCCTTGTCTGCCGGCAGAGCCCCTTGGAGGTCGTGGGGAGAGGCGGGGGAAGCAGCACCCCAGTCCCGGTCCTCCACCCGGGGCCCCGGACTTGCACCCGGAGCAGGCAGGGGGACTTCGGGCCAGCCGCGCCTTCCCCCCGCCATGCAGAGGCTCCCCGGGAAATGGGGGGAAACGGCCCCTCCCTTCTGGCGACCCCCATTTCTCTCCTTGCGGGCCCCTGCATGGAAAAGGGCGGCAGCGGAAGATGGGACCCCGGACTCCCACCTCGGGGGAAGACTTTGCCCGTCTCCACACTCGCTTCCAGCGCGGTACCCCTTTCCACGGGCAGAGCCGCCACTCGTGTAAATCGGGAGTCTCGTCGGGCTCCGCCTCCCCGCAGGGATTCCCGGCAGCCTCTGCGCCTACCGTCCACGCCCCGCCCCCGCCTTTCAGCGGAGGGAGGGGGGAAGAGAAAGAGCAGCCTCTTCCTACGATTTCTCCGGGCGACCCGGGTAGTCTGCCCTGGCGGAGGAGTCCTGCTCATGCCCAGTTCCCTCCTGAGGCTGAGAGCGCTCTCTGGTGGACTCTACGCGGAGTGTCAGCATTACCCGAAAGGGCGGGAAAGAGGATGGCGTCTGAGGCGAGGAGGAGGGCAGGGATGGTGGGTATGGGAGAAGGAAAGGACCCTCTCAAAGGCTTCGGTGTCTCCAGAGGCGGCGTCTTTTTTCCATCTACCTATCCAGGCACCCTTTGTGGACATGGAGATAAAAATCTCTCTGGAGGATTTCAACTCGCTTCCCTCAAGAACACTCGACCTGAAGGCTCCCCAGAGATTGGCCTCAAAATGGGCCCAAATCCTCTCAGAAACTGATGGGCGGTCTTGAAGACGAGGACCAGGAGGTTCTCTTGGAAACACTATTTGTGTCTTGCGGTTGTTGCGAATTCCAGCCTGAAGGGAAGGAAGATGGAACATGGGCAGGGAAGCCACAACTGGGAAAATGTATTTCTACTTCTCTGGTTCTGTATCTGCAGCTGCCCTTGTCCAATTCTTGGCTCTGGGTGTCTTAGAATCACCAGGAAAGCCGAGCAACTGCTTTGGACCCAGGAAAGGACGCTGAAGGGAAAATAAAAACCTCTCCAAAGTGGGGAAAAAGCTGAAATTATAGGGTGTTCCAGAAATTTTACTTCACAAGGAGGCTCCTTGGAGGAGAAATGAAAAAGGGGAAAGCGGTGTCTTACCTGTGACTGGAGAAAAGTTGGAACTGCAAAAGGATGGAAAGCAACTATGGAAAAGAGAATATATCATTAAAATACTATGAGGGGAGAAAAAGAAGAGGAGAAATGTGTTTTATTTAGGGATTGAATAGTAAACACCCTCAGGAAATAACAGTAGAAAAGCTCTCTGTAGAATTTAAGGCAGGGGTTTTCAAACTTGGTCTTTTTATGACTTGTGGACTTCAAATCCCAGAATTTCTCAGCCAGGCACGCTGGCTAAGGAATGCTGGGAGTTGAAGTCCACAAGTCATAAAAAGGCCAAGTTTGAAGACCCCTGATTTAAGGAAACTGGGATGTCGCTAGATCATGAATGAAAAGAAAAGTACAATTATTGTCTATTTTTCTTTGACTGCCACTCTGTTCCATTTTTGTAATGAAACATTGGACAATAATTGGCAGAA